TGAGACTATGAAAGCATTTATGAATTACTTTTTTTTAATAAAGGATCTTTAAGTTTACAAGTCATTATGTGAAAGTAGATGGATTGCAAGTTTAGAGTCTAGTAGTGCACCGACGAAAGTGGGCATTGCAACTAATTTAGGTATTTTCTACAAAAGATAAATTCTCGTTGTAATCCATATCGTAGTTGTATGAGTAAAGTTGGTGGAAAAGAATTATAGTCTTTGACTCTTACTTTTATCATTAAGAGAATCAAATATATTATCATTTTGCACAAACGAACTAGTTTTCATATAACCTTAAATAAACATAGATATGATAGAGAGCGATAATTGATCATTGGTCTCTGAGGATGATAACTCTTTTTATTACTTTTTCATTTTTATATAATTGTCACGTAGCAACATGTCTTAAAACTTCAAGTGACAAAAAAAGAAGAAAAACATATTTCGGTACTAGCAGATTTTCGGGCTTGTTTTTGAATTTGTTCGTTAATGGATAATATATTGGCCTCATTAAGGTTTCAGGAGTTATAAATGTGGTTTTCTCTCTTTTTTGTAAAACAAGTTGCGGAAGGTAGAAATCCTAGTGAAAAGAAAAGGGTTGAAAATCTTAAGTTTATATTTTGGGGTTTGGCAAACTTTTGGGGTTATCAAAGATATTTAGGAAACACTTCAAAGACATTGGGCTTGTGTGATTCTTATATTGAGAGTTGGAGATATTGAGAAATATTTGGGGTAGAAATAAGGTTTTGTCTAGGAACTCCATAGGCTATTTTATTGTAACTCATATTGTAGTCTCTTGTAACAACTTTTTAAGTATAGTGAATTTGATAACTACTCTCTCCTCTAAACGTAGATCAATTTGATTAAATTGGATAAACAATTTCCTATGTTCTCGCCTATTATTATTTTTATTGCTTGAGGTCATTTATCTGGTTGCCATTGTTCTTTGTTCCTTACATCAAAGTCTTGGTGTGTGAAAATCATTTGTACTATTTTTCTCAACACTAGGCTATTAATTCACTCTAAAAATTTCACTAACGATGTAACAATGTATTATGGTTGTGGTGGTTGTCATTTCTTTCTTTTGTTCACCATAAGTGAAAATATGGAAACATTAGAGGAAGATTTCCATATATAAAACCAAGCTATCTTTGAAGAAACTTTCTAATTCACGTATTGGAAATGAATATATATCTAACGAGAAACTTTGGTATGATCGTAAACTCCAATAAGATAGTGGGGGATGTACATGGAAACACTTTGACGTTCAAGTTAGTGACAACCGTAAGTGTGAAAAAAATTTGTTAGAATTGTGTGTAACTGAGATTAATTCAATAAATGCCTTTTATAGGATGTTCTTAAGGTTTTTTTTAGGAGGATATAACCTTTTATTTTCTACACGTGTCTTGAAGGACAAATGTTACATAATCCTTAAAATTACAATATAACAATCCTTAGGGTCCTATCATTACTGGTCATGTGTGCTTGCAGGGCGGTCCATCTAGGGACCGCAAAGAACTAAAACATTCCTTGTTGTTTCCTATCATATACATTTTTGTTGGACTTTCAACTAGGGAGCATTGAACATAGTGAGACTTTTTTCTAGAGCAACCTTTGTGAGAGACACACCACATACTCACCCAAAACCTTAAGGTGATAGGTGTATGGGTTCTCTCACTTATAAATGCATTATCCACCCTACTCACACTTGTTAATACTTAACACTCTCCCTCAAGTGTGAGTCTATCCCAATGCTCTCCCTTTAGCGGAAACTTCTGCGCAACTGCACCCTTGTACCGCCGTTGACATTCTTCAACGAGACACTTAACCCACAACCTATGAGGATACTTTCGATACAAGTAAGTCGTTCTCTTTATTCGAACCAAAGGCTCATAATACCACTGTTGGACTTTCAACTAGGGAGCATTGAACATAGTGGGACTTTTTTCTAGAGCAACCTTTGTGAGAGACACACCACATACTCACCCAAAACCTTAAGGTGATAGGTGTATGAGTTCTATCACTTATAAATGCATTATCCACCCTACTCACACTTGTTAATACTTAACAATTTTAACATTGGTGCTTCCAATTGTCTACCCGATCCAATAGTCCTTCGATGTTTGGTCGACACTAATATAATAAGATGCTAGAATATGATCATTATATAGACCTAAAATTTGTTGCATTATTCCTTGTGTGTTGACGTTCCTAACTTTATTTTAAGATCGTTATATGAACCTAACAACCTATTTAGTTTAATTAATGTCAGTTCTTATACTCTATAAGAGCCAAGTGGATTGTGCCATGGTCAAGACTGAAACACATATTTTCATCGATTTGGTTGTACTTGTTATAGTTAGAATAATAAAACAAATTAACAAGTTTAATTCAAAATATAAAAAAAAAGTATATTGTTAGGATATTCATAATGCTCTAAGGCATACATAATATATACAAAGAAACATTTTTAAGAATCAACTAATGTAAGGTTTAATGATAGAGAGTTTGACAATGATACATCAAACTTAATTAAAAAGGAAAAACACCTAATTTTAAAAATATATAAGGGTACCTTAGATTTCTTCTTCTTTGATGCAAGTGTTGCCTCTGATGACATATTCTTAGTTGCTTTGGGTGTAATGTGGTCAGATGGTTCTTCGATATGAATTCCACTTGATATGGTTCATTTTTTAGAAGCAAAAAACTATTTTTCAACGTTGTCATCTAAATCCACCATAATAAATTTCTTACCTCATATAATGGAAAATAACCAAGGTAAGAAAAAAGGTATAAACTGGTAAACCAATGTACACAGATAAAAATTATATTTACCTAACTGACAAACCCTTCTAACTTCCGTTGTATCAAAGGTATTATCAAGACGCCCAAAATTGTTGAGTTGTAACCGAGATGGATGTGTTGTAATATATCAGGTTTCCTAGCTTCAAACTAGGGAGTATACTACTCTGCTCAAGTTTTGTTGTCTCTACTTTGGATGGGGACCACAATGCAAGTATCTTACTATCAAAATCCTTGACAAGTTTTCGTTAATGGTCGTTTTGTTGTCTTTCCTGCATCAAACATCAAATAAGGACCAAAATTCTTTTCATAGAATAGAGATCCAATAAGATGGAAAATGGGTAAATAAAGATAAATAAATCATAACAGAAGAGGTGGAGTCATCATTATCCCATATACCAGTTAATACTCCCTAATTGTTTGTCCCATATTAAGAATCGAGTTGGGATCAAATTCTTTATCCCAAAAGCTTTGGGAAGTATAACTAGAATCAAAGTTGGAGGAATCATAGATCTTTACTTCTAATTTTTCCTTTAGCTCAGCCAAGATCATATTAAAGGGGGTAAGGGACAATATATAAAGATAAAAAATGAAAATAACCCCAAGTTATGTTCTATTTAGAATACAATAAGGAAACATATAATTGTAATTCTTGAAGGATTACTATAAAATCATTGCAAATGAAAATTTGTTAAACCAAAATAACTTCAATGTATTGTGCTCTACTTATGTAACAATTTTTGTATGTTTCCAATGATATGTTCCACGAAGGAAGAATAATGGGAAATATCCCTCGAGAATTGAAACCACAAAGAAGGGATATGATTATCATGGGCTGTAAGATCCTCAACCACGGGAAAGCCAAGTATGGTCAGCACATCAAGGATAACAGGGTCATCACACCCTACGAGGAAATTATGAAAATATAAATTATAGATCAATACTCATTGAAGCCAAAAATATACTACATATCGATTCTCATATCTTCTCGTGAGATCATAATCATCTCATAGATATCATATCTCATCCAAATGCGTCATCTGACATCTTCAACCCTGCGAATCCAAGTCAGATAATTAACAAAAGGATGATGATATGTTCTAAAATCAATCGGCTTTCGTTCAGCTTTAACCCAATCATAAGCAAAAGGAAACTTGGAGTCAGTACATTCAAGGAACAAAGCTTTGAATATCACATCATCAGTGAAAGGTCAATGAGTAACATTGTGTTACACAAGGTAAATTACTCTAGGAAAGTTTTTGTTTTGAGATAAAGAGACATTAATTTTCTTGGAAAAGTCCAAAAGCAATAAAAAAAACAGGGAACTAGTTCAGAGAATACAATCAGAAAGGAAGAAAACATAAAGCTAGAAGAAATAGGATACTGGAATGAGAATTTTGATGAGAAAGAATAGTCATGCAAAAGGCCGTTAAATGGTTGTTATTACTATTAGATGATTAAATCAAAAGACTCAAGGAGGCATTTGACTCTTCATAGGCCAAAACAGGGTTTGTAATGATCAATTTTCGATTTTATGGTGCAATGATGATCATTAACCCCTCACAATAACTACTAGTTATACCACATTATCTCGTGGCTCAAGTTAGTCTATAATACATCACTTAAGATATTTGTTTACACTTAAAAATAATCAAAGTGTCAATCAAAATAAACAGAAAGACGAATTTTAGATTAGTTAAATATACTTTAATCGATAGCAAACCAAGCTAATCAATATTTTATTAAATATATTAGATCATTGGCATTTATGATCACATTTCAGTTAATAGCATGATTGATAGACCAAGACAAACACATAAAAATATAGTCAACAACCAAAAGAATTAGAGTGTTATATATCTTAAAATAGAGAAAACACTCACGCACATTAATAGTAATGTAAATAAACGAATGAAAAAAAATAGGTGAAGATAATTCTAATTAATAGAATAATTTTCTATATAAATACTAGATCTTTTAAATTATGTGGCACATCCAATTTCAAATATGTATTGTTGTTTAACCAAATAATTTGAAAAAAAAAAGTATGAAAATATGATTAACAATAGTACTTGTTCTTAAACCATAAAAAAATCTTATAGGTAGGTGAATAAAACATCGCAATTTTTTTTAATGAAAATTCTCACCTGAGTTGGAATAGTACGATAATTATTTTTGCTTGATTTGCAACTGATATGGATGATATTGGTGCACAAAGGAGAATCGCCGTAAGAAACCACCACGGTGAAAATCTCGTCGGAGTATTACACGACGCTGCTTCCGCCGCACTTGTTATCGTTTGCCATGGTTTCCAATCATCCAAGGTTCTCATCACGCTCTTCCTTTTTTTAATGTTAATAAATTAACCTAATTTCACAAATCTCCATTATTCCATTGCAGAATCGTTTTATGTAAATTCATGATTTCACTGTTATCTAAATCATTATGTTTTAACATCAATCTTCTCTATAGATTTAGCTTATTGTAACTCTTTTCAGATTATCTTCATAAGCTCTTAAGAATACTTAATTGCATTTTTTGATATCAAAATAGCTTATGCATAAGCACTTATATGATATTAGCACATGTTATAAGAGTTTAATTTAAGTGTTTATCCAAACATAGTCATAATTGATTAGTGTCTGAGTAAGTTGAAACTGGTTGAATAATCTCTAGGAAAGGATCCCCATGGTGAACCTTGCTGGTGCTCTGGAAAAAAATGGAATCAGTGCTTTTCGCTTTGACTTTGCCGGAAACGGGTGAGATCCTCTGCAAAGGAAAAAAGAGTGTTAATGAATGAATTACTAATTTATCAAGGGAAGAAATATGAACATTTCTTCTTGAGTAGTTTAATTTGTTTGAAAAGATATCTCTTTTCATTATCAGTTGTTTATTGTTTAGATTTGTGCGGTGGCATGAACTCCAAGAATAATCAGTATCTAAGATTGCAATGTTTTTGTATATGAGTTTATATGCATACTATATGAATATTGGAAATGTCTATTCAACAAAACATATATTAGAAGATAGCTTACAATGAGTTTGGAGGATATGATAGTACGATTATAGGGGGTAAGATAATGTTTGCTAGATAAGTTAGAACCGAACCAAACATAATGGTAGAAGAATGCCAGGCAAAAAGTTAAAAATGTTTAAGAGAACATATCAACAGTTTTTTTATCCCATTTTGTCTGCGTGGCAACGTTACCTAAGAGATCCTTCTTAAAAAGTAAACTTTTCCATAGACTAACTCTCCTAAAAGCTTAGGAAGTTAATTGAAGGTATCTCTCTAGCAAACTAAAACAACAATAAACAGAAGAAAACTTCAAAGAGCGAAGCTGTCTAATCCCTCAATAATCATCTGTTAGAGAAACCCTCTTGACTAGGCTATGTGCTTTATTCCCAGCGGAACCTGAATGCCATATTCTTTCAAAATTCAGTTTGTGTTAAAAATACCTCCTTTAGTGGCATAGATTGCAAATAGTATATTGTTCCATTTATGGCTTCGTTCTATGTTAATAAACTAGGAATGAAACAGATGGAGCCACATTCAGAACAAAATGAACATTCTTTTGTAAAGTTGAATGTATAAACAATTCTAACTTGGAGGTAAAGTAATCTAATGGCATACCTGTTGTTCTAAAATTGAACAAAGATAATTTGATATTAAACTTTTTTTTTGTTGCTAATAACTCATTATACAGAGTTATCAATAGCAGCTGAGAGCAGCGCTATCCCGGGATAGTGGCCCGGAGCAGTGACCCTCCGCTATTTGATGTTTAGCAGCCGCTATTTGATGTTTAGCGGGTAGCGGGGCGCTTCAAGCCCCGAGTGGGTTTGAACTGTTTTGAACGCGAAAGCCCAAATTTACCCTTAAAATAAATAAATATGGTTTGATTTTACATCTATTTTTCATTACCTCTGTTTTTTTTAGGGTGTGTTTGGTTCGGGGTAGATGGAGGGGAGGGGAGGGGAAATTTTTAATTAAATATGTTTGGTTCAAATTTTAGGAGGGGAGGAGAGGGGAGGGGAGGGGAGCAAAATCCCTCCAAAACACATTTTTTGGTTCCCTCCGAATTGGGGGGATTTGGAGGGGAGGGGAGGGAATGAGTTTTGATATTTAAAAATTATTATATTTACTAAAATATCCTCAGTTTAATTTTATTATTTCAAAACTATTTGTTATCTTTTATGTTACTGTTTTTTTTCTATTGTTTTCATCAATTTATTATAATTGTTCTTCACCTTCAAATTATTTTATAATTTTTATAATTAATATAAATCATAATCATTGTCTTTTTTTTTATAAAAAAAATTATGTACTCTATCATATTTTCTTTTATATCAAATTGTAAACCATATCATTTTATTTATTTTTGTTTATTCATTTTATTAAATATTTTGAACCATTAATATTTAGTAATAAGTTATTTTATATATTTGTTTTGTTATATGATTCATCACAATTTAAACGATGTTATTGGCTTATAGTTTAATTTATGTTGGAAAGTTATAAGTCGAATCGATTGTACTCAATTTTTTAACTTTAGTGACAAATAAATATTTTTTTAATCACTCAATATTAGAAATTTTATTACCAAGAAAAATACGCACGAATTTTTCACATTTTAATATCATATGACTTATATAAGATCATAAGGATAAAAATGTAAATTATTAATAAAACCCCTCCCCTCCCCTTCTGAACCAAACGCATTTTTAATTAAAATCCCTCCCCTCCCCTCCCCTCCTCTCTTTTGAACCAAACACTTATTTGATTAAAAAATTCCTTCACCTCCCCTCCCCTCCCCTCCCCTTCATTAAAATCCCTCCCCTCCCCTCCCCCTCATTTGAACCAAACAGACCCTTAAGTAATAGTCATTTAATAACTCTATTCCACTTCTTCCTCTTTTGTTTGTTTGGCTTTACATTAAATATATGTTTTATAGATTATTCATATAATTAGTCTAAAAAATAGTTATATAGTGGTTATCTTGCTATCCCATTTTTGGGGTCGGCCTCTCTGCTCCGCTATCTGGGATTGATAACTCTGTCATTATACTGTCTTCTAGGGAAAGTGAAGGTTCATTTCAGTATGGTAACTACTACAGAGAAGTTGAAGATCTGCGAGCTATAGTCCAACACTTCCGCGAGGAGAAATATGTAATTACTGCAATTGTTGGTCATAGTAAAGGTCAGAATACTGTTATGGACTTCTTTTTATTTGAAACTGAATTTTGTAATGGACTGAACCGATAACTCATAGGGATATTTCAATGGCGGTTTGTAGTTGTTTTCTCCCTGATACTGGAACACATTTTGATACTTTTTTTTGTCCAGCTTCTCTTTAATAAAGACTATCAATATCCTAAAAAATATTTTATTGAGTGCATGTGTTAGTATTTAGTAATAGAGGTAAGGTTGCATGGCTTATAGAATCAATATAGTTATTTCAAGGTAATTTATTGATATTGTGTTCTTTGCTGAGAAAAACTGTGTAAATTCAGAGAAAGATTTAGATGTTTACTTGTTTTTTATTTTTTGGAGAAAGTATGTGATGGCATTGTTAGTGAACGCAGTTTAGATATGTCTCGAGTATTGGATGTTTAATATTGTAAAGAAGTTATAAACAGAATGCCTGTTTGTCAGAGACTCAGAGTTAGGTGTAGCATTGATCTATAGGTAAATATGACAGAAAATTATCCAAATATGGCTGGGACATGTACAGGTTATTGCTGAAAATGTTTGAGAAATCATTAGAGAATACTGATTCTAAAAATAAATAAAAAGAGGACCAAGCTGACATTGATGAAATTGAATACATATAATAATTCTACAGTTTAAGTGGAGATTGTAGTTTTCAATAGGTTTTCCGAGAATGTCGTCTTCCATAGGTTTGCAGGTAAATGAAACTGAAGTTCCCTATGAATGTGATAGAATTTTGCATTTGATTATAAAAAAGTGGACCAAGCTCACATATGAAACTGTATATATAATAAATAATTATACAGTTTTAGTGGAGAATGTAGTCCTCCAAAGGTTTGTAGGAAAATGGAACTGAAGTTCTCTGTGATTATGATAGAGTTTTCTCTATACAAGTCTCTCACAATCCTCATTTTTTCGTGTGATTCACACTCAATGGAATGGTTTCTGCAGGGGGTAATGTGGTTCTGTTATATGCCTCAAAATATAAGGATATTCATACCGTTGTCAATATATCTGGGCGGTTTAACCTAGCAAGAGGCATGGAGAGTCGCTTGGGAGAAAATTTTATACAGAGGATCAAACAAGATGGATATATCGATGTTAAAAATAAAAGAGGTGAGCTATGAAATGTAAATATTGGTCTATCATCTATTCATCTATCATTTGTGGATCAAGTCAGCATGCCTTGATAAACTTTTTCTCGCTTCTTTATTCTGTTGCTGCCATGAACATTTTGACTTTATGTTTAAAATGAAAAAAGGGAGAATTGTATGCTCTCATGTTTCTGGTAATCTCTATTGTTGTTGAATGTTACACTTACACCTCTTCATCAATATGTTGCTTTATTTTTTCATTGTTGTCATCATCCTTTCTAGATTCCTCTTGATCTTACATCTTACTACTGACTGCTAAAAGCTACTTAAGACATTGTCTACAACCTTCGCTTCTTGTCAATGTACTTCAAGTTCAACCAGTCTGATTGAGATATACCTTTTCTTGTGGTAGGGAAGATTGTGTATCGCGTAACTGAAGAAAGTTTAATGGACCGTCTAAATACTATAACCCATCTTGCCTGCTTATCAATCCCTGAAAATTGCAGGTAAGGTTTGTGATTACATCTAATAAGATACAAATCTTTCTCTTCATAAAATTTGATATCAAACGCTTCTTCATGCTTTACTGTTACTAATTACTTGATCAGTATTGAAACAGGGTGTTGACAATTCATGGATCCATGGATGAAACTGTACCTTTAGAAGATGCTTTAGAGTTTGCAAAGTTCATATCGAATCATGAACTGTGCATCATAGAAGGGGCTGATCATGAATATACTGCTCATCAAGATAAATTGACCAGTTTAGTTTTGGACTTTATCAAGGTTCATAATGATAAGGAAAACACTACATCTAAGCAGACACGATTCAGAAGAGTAGATAAACCTATCCATTCACGTTTCTAATCCTTGCGAAATATGTGGATCTGGTACCTCATTTTAATCTAGCCTTCTTATTAATAAAGAGGACAGACTCGTCCTATTTCTTGCATCTCTAGTGCCCACCAGGCAGCCAATAATTATTAGCTGTCAGAGTTAAAGAAAATCGACCAATAGTCTCTCATTATTGGGCCACAACAATTACACATCTGACGAGAACTACCACATCATTACTGCCAGGTTATCAACCTGACGTTATACTCTTATTGTTGCTGTTAAAAGTTTATGCTCTTCCATTTACAGTGGATTTTGATATCATAAGTTTGAACACCACCCATCTGGTAGATAATACATATAGAGTACAGTTGATTGAATGATTGTTATCACAAGCTAGCAGCCACAACGAACGAGCAATTAAATGGCAACCACCACAACAATTGATCCTGGAGGCAAGGGCGGGGCCAAAAGTCTAACTCAAGTGAGGCCAAGAGAGCGCCATCTATGCGACTTGACCAGAAAAAATTATGACACACCTACTATAGTATGACAAACATGTTACTAAAAGCAGGAGTGGGCACACAATATTTCTATCTTACATGCTAAAAATTGGAGACACAATACTTTATTATTGCATTATCAAGTGTAATTTTTTGGGGGGTCACTGTGCTTCCCCTTAGATTGGCCCCTGCTTGGAAGCTGACTGTTTGTTTTACAGAGTTGAGAGGACATAGTACCTACTATAGTACTGATGTTATAAATTTACTTTTGGCCACAACACGAGTCACTAGATCTTGAGGCCAATATTGTTTGGAAGCTTAATGTGCCAACTTAATCAATATTCCTTGTAGTTGTAACTATAAAGAGAAAAAAAAAAAAAAGAGCTACTTTTCCCTAACACATGCCTCCTATCCACTTCATACAGAAACAAATGGCATTTGTCTAGTTTGTTTTGTATGACTCCTCACTTTGTGTCTATATTAGGGATACAGCGTTTTTTTGTTTGTTTTTTTTAAGCGAAGCTGAAATTGTAAGGAAAGAAGAGTACTGGATGTGAGTAGAGCCTTCTTGGGTGCAGGTGCACTTCAACCTATCCTTTACTTCTTTGGAAGTTTTTCAATTGAGATTGTTGAACACCCTAGCAAAATTCTAAAGGCAATACTTAATTCCAATTTCTAAAATTCAGACGTATTTAATACACAACAAGCTCTTTGTGAAACACGGCAAAGCTAAAATTAAAAAGAATTCAGACTTTAAAATCTGAATGGTATTTTGGAGTTTGGATAGAGTATGATAGATAGTACATAGAGTGTATTGAACAACACCCTTTTCCATTACTGTAAAAAAATATTATTTTTTCTTTCAAATGTATACTATAATTAATACTATATATTACTTCAAATTCAATACCTTTCATTTTATTTTATATTTATGATAAATGTGAATATGTCCATTATTATGGAACAAAGAGAGTATATAACATTAATTTACTATCATATTATATTATGAAGTTAGAAAGGCATATTTAAAAGATAAAAAAGACAAAAAAGATATATCAAGATTCAAACAAACATGGAGGCTGAAGATATTTTGCATAGAAATAAGCATCTTCGTATGGCATATTCTAAAAGCTGTAATCGTGGTACTAGGTTGCCATGACTTTTTGTTGGGTTTGGCTCATACTTTGAGCATGACTATTATTTTATGTGTTATAGTAACAAGTGTTTAAGAATATTATTAAAGAATTTATAGAAAGAAAGAAAAACATTTTTTAAATTAAACTCTATTATAAATTATTTTTACAATGCCATTGTACCCCACTTGCATGCCCTTTGTAATTTCCTTTGGAGTGCGACAAACGTTGTAAATTTCCAATGTTTGTTTATGTTGAATAACGTGACTAACATTCATTTCAATCACCCTTATCTTTTTTTTTTCAAAGAAATTATAATATTTGTTTTTCTATCGACAGCCTGTTTTATTTACAGCTAATAGCTTTGACAGATGTAATCATAAATTGTTTGCTGTCCTAATTTTGGATATTTTTTCACTCCTCATTTGAACCACTTGTTGATTTTTTTTCCTTTTTTGGTTTTATTTTTAAATTTTAGGAATACGACTATTATTCCATTTTCTGTTTTCTTAATGACTTAATGCATTGGTCAAGATTCTTGTATTTTTTAACAGAAAAATAGAGCTCTATTTATAGACATGGATATGGATAGAAGAAGATTGACAAGATTCCTTTAATTCAGATTATATAAGTTTTATCTAGACAGTAGATAGACACAATATTAAAAATATATATATATATTATTTCACCACCCATCTAACATCATATAATTCTTTTAATTTTTTTTTTATAATTTATTTGTCCAAATATTTGTTAAAATTAATAGTCGATTCATCATTTATTATTTGTCGCAAATTTAAAAACAACTCTAAAAAACACAAACATTTCTAGAGATATTGGCGATGTATCGATCAAGTGGAAGAATGGTGAGCATTCTTTGATTAAAGATGTATATTCATGGAATCAAGTGTAATCTTTTAAGCATTGGTCAATTGTTTGAAAGGAATTACAAGATTCACATGGAAAATAAAGTGATGAAAGTTTAGGATGCAAATGGTAGTTTGATCCAAAAGGTCCATATGGCTCAAAATAAAACTTTCAAAGTTGAATTGAAAGTCATGGATCATAGATGTTCTGCAACCACTTCTAGTAAGGAAGAATGGGTATTGAACTATAGGCTTAGGCATTTGAATTTCAAGGATCTCAATGCTATGCAGAAACATAACATGGTTAAGGGACTGTCATTGATCAATAACGCTAACTGAAGTATGTAAAGAATGTGTACCTGCCAAGCAACACAGAGGTCAACTTTAACAAAGCCGCAAAATGCAGAACTTAGCGTCCTCTTGAGGTTGTGTATTCAGATGTTTGTGGATAAATGCAAGTTGAATCAATCAGAGGAAATAGGTACTTTGTCACTTTCATTGATGATTTTAGTATGAAGTTATGGATTTACTTAATAAAAATAGAAGACGAGGTGTTGGACATGTTCAAGAAGTTCAAATCCATGGTGGAAAGAGAAAATGATCAAAAAATCAAAACTCTAAAAACAAATAGTGGAGGAGAATATGTCTCAAATGATTTTGGGAAATTTTGTGATCAAGAAGACATTGTACGTGAGGTAGTTCCACCCTATACGCCTCAATATAATAGAGTTTCCAAGAGGAAGAATACATAAATTATAAACATGGTGAGAAACATGTTGAAAGGGAATAACTTGGCAAAAGAATTATGGGGGAGAAGCGGTGTTCATAGATGCATATTTGTTGAATAGTTATCCAACAAAGAAGCTGAAAAATATTACACTCAAATAATCGTGGTCTGGATTCAAGCCAAATACGAGTCCCTTTAAGGTATTTGGTTGAGTTGTGTATAAACATGTTCCAAATCAGCTTAGAAAGAAACTAGACGACACAATATAACAAATGATATTTGTTGGATATCACTCAACTGAAGGCTACAAACTCTATGACACAATTAACAAAAGAGTTGTTATCAGTAAATACGTGATTTTTGATGAATTAAGGGTATGACAGCATGTTGTAACTAATGAATCTAAGGGTTACAATATTGTTGAAACTATTCCTGCAATGTTTGAAAGGGCAGCCGGTAAAGTCTAAGTTGAATATCAACAAATTAAATAGGCATTCTGCACGATTGCAAGATTGTGAGTTATTCATGAATAATGAAGTGAAGAGTCTTCGGATATTATCCCTTTTGCACTCATGGCTGATTCAGAACCGATGAAAATAGAAAAGCCCTTGAGTGACCCAAACTAGATATGTGAAATGAAGGAGGAACTATAATCAAATGAAAAAGTAAGACATGGGAACTAGTTGATCTACCTCAAGGAAATAAGTCAATTGGTGTGAGATGTGTATACAAAGTGAGGGAAAATCTCAAAGATGAAATAATCAAGCATAAGGCTTGATTAGTGGCAAAGGGCTTTTTTGCAAAGTGAATAAGTAGACTTTGAAAAAATATTTGCACTTGTGGTTAGGATTAAAATCATTAGGCTATTTGTTGGTATTGAAAATAAAAACAATTGATCCATCTACCAAATGGATGTCAAATATGCTTTTTTTAATGGTTCTTTAGAAGATGAAGTGTATGTGATACAACCACTTGGTTTTATTGTGAAAAACCATGAATTAAAGTTCTATAGATTAAAGAAGGCGTTGTATGGGGTACAACAAGCACCAAGAGTTTGAAACAAAAGAATTGATAGGTTTCTAAAGGAAATAGGATTTGATAAATGTGTATTCGAACATGGTGTGTATGTGAAGAATGATACAAGCAAATGAGTGATTATCATATCTCTCTACGTTGACGATTTACTAATTACAAGCAACAATGAAGGTCACATTACTGAATTCAAGGGTGATTTAATGAATGAGTTTGAGATGATAAACCTTCGTCTCATGACACATTTTCTTAGCATTGACTTTCATAAGTCCGAAAAGGGACTGCTCACGCATCAAAGGATGTATGCACTTGAAATTTTTAAGAAGTTTGAAATAGAGCATTGTAATGTGGCAATTACTCATGCATAACAAAGGTTAAAACTGTCAAAGAATGAAGATGATCAGGATATTAATCCAACGCAGTACTTAAGGTTGATTGAATCATTACAATGTGATACCGAACTTAGTATTTAGTGTGGGCATAATAAGCTGATTTATGGGGAAGCCAAAGGCATCACACTTGACATCAATCAAGAGAATTTTGAGATACGTCAAAGTTTCAATTGGTTGCATAATTCTATTTTCTACAACGGATAAATGTAGAATCTGTAAATTGCTCAATTATACCGACTTAAACTGATGTGGAAATAAAGATGATAGAAAATTAACTGATGGATATATCTTTATATATACGGGGAAACACCAATCTCTTGGTGTTATAAGAAGGAACCAGTTGTGGTGCTCTCTTCTTGTGAGGCTGAGTATATTGTAGCGCTTTTTTCTCTACATTGATGTTTTTGTTGAGGCATGTTGCTCTTTTGTTAAGATAAGTTATTATACATTATTGATAAATATTGTTATTTGTTTTAGTTTAGATGTTTGTTGAAGTATGTTGATATTTTTTTCGAGGTATGTTGATAAATATTGTTGTTGAGGTATGGTTGATGAATGTTATTGTTTGTGTTATTGTATGATTTGTTTGTATATGTATGCTATTGTTTATGTTATTGTCAAAGTTATTACTTGTACATTGCAACTATCATTTCGTTCAGTCAACATGTCATAGAAGATGAATTTATTATATCGTATGTGGTTTTAGTGTTTTTACTAACCCCTCATTGAATATATAACCTTTCAAATTGAATTAGAAAATATTAATATGAAAAATTAAGTTATGTTAGAAAAAACTTACATTGATCCATGTTTTATGAGTTTTCTTAAACCCATTATCCGTATCTCGCTTTTTAATAGTTAGAATTTGGTTCAATGTTCGTAGTTCTTCAATTAACACTTCTTTTTTTACTAGTTTTGCATAATGGATTAATAGAGAAGGAAATGTTCCTTGAAGAATTATAAGAATTGAATCAAATTCTAACTGTTAAAGAGCGAGATAAGGATAACGAATAGTAGAAAGCTTGAAAAATATTAACTAATGTAACTTCTTTTTTTAATACTATAACTCAATTTATCATATTATTAATTTCTAAATCAGATTGAAAAATTTCACATAAGTTATAATAAACTCAAGTGAGCATATCGCAACGGTTGGAAGGTATAATCATGGTGAAAAATTGTACGTTAAATCTTTCAATACGGTTGAAACATTCAATCGTGGTGAAATATTAAAAAATCTCTTAAAATGATGGTGCTAGGTATCGAATCCCTGACCTTCACATTTTACTAAAGTTAATTTCTACAACCGTAATGATATGTTACATGCTATTGTGTTTTCACAATGACTAGAAGCTCAAGGTAGTAAATAGAGTTTACACTATCACACTCTTCATTACCACGCATTATCATATATAGTAAAATCATTTTTCTATTCATAATAAAATATTCTTTTTTAAGAGTGATTTCAACATAGTCAAATATCTTTGTCGCAGTCAATTTAATTGTTAAATAAACAAATTTCTTTTATAACTAATATTAAACAATATCAAATACATCAACCAATGGAGAATAAAATTTGTATAATAAAAAAAATTCTATCTTTAAATTATTTTATTATTTTTTAATATGTTTATAAAAGATATTTAAAAATGAAGAGTTTAGACTAGAGTGAACTTAATTTAGAAACGGGAGGAGCACTCGTTGGGCCTAACCCTCACCTCATCGTGCCGACTTGTACGTAATAACAACACATTTACAGATTTGAAATGAAAGAATCTTTTACACCACTGCCAAAAGCGTCGCTATCAATGCATCCTACAACACATGTGGAAAATTCTGGTCCTATAATCAACACAATTTACACCCACTACGTGGAACCTCACTTCACTCTTTTTTTTTTCAACTAAAAGTTAAATCAATTAAATGATACCGTATCTCTTTTCGTCTTAATCATCCAATTTTAGAAAAAAAGAATCATCATAATTTACAATTTGGATGGAAGGTAAATGAAAAAAAGACAAAGATTATTTCGTGGTCATGCTAACCAGCCCCCTCAGGTCATTAGTTAAAAATTTCAAATAAGAAAAATATGTTATATTTAGTCCATTTAATATATACAATATTTTTTTAAAATATAATTATTTCTCTTTTCAGAGTATTGAATACACATATATTAAAAAAAATATATTTTCAATCTCTTAAATAATATCTAATTTACTATTTTAATCTCTTAACCAATGCTCTGAGGGTATTCGTTAGCATTTTCCTTATTGTAATTATACATTAAATTTGGATACTTTCAATGATTTGACTTTAGTTGGAATTTATTAATAAATTAAATTCAATCAACTTTTTAAACATTAACAAATAATTTAAATTAAAAAAACAAATAAATGTCAGTAAAATCAATTTAGTTGATAGTTATACTATATATATATATATATATATATATATATATATATATATATATATATATATATATATATATATATATATATATATATATATATATATATATATATATATATATATATATATATATATATATATATATATATATATATATATATATATATATATATATATATATATATATATATATATATATATATATATATATATATATATATATATATATAAAAAGATGAGTTCAAATCTACAACATCCTATTTGTTCACTTTTAAATTGTAAATTTCAGTTATTAAATTACTTTTAAAAAAATTATAGTATTACAATGTAATTTATTATTACAATATAATTTATCATGTTAAAATATAAAATTTATATTATTTTTTTAAATGTATAATTAAATTCTTTCAAATATTTGAAAGTTAAATAACAAAAGTATCTTTTCCTTTCTTCCTTTCATTAAACCTATTGAAGACATGAGATTCATTATGTCTATCCAATAGAGTAATTGTATAAACATACATAATTTTTTTTCCGCATATCCTTATAGTATTATTTTTTTTAAAATTGTAGAGATTCATTGATTTGTATTATTTCGTAATTAGTTAAAACAAAAGTCAATTATTTTTAATATTTAACATTTATAATTAATGTAAAATTTGTTTAGATTGTCGATGCATTTTTATTAAATTCACAGTTTTATTATATTATTATTGATAACTATATACATAATTAATATATTTTTGAGAACACATATTTATTTCTACAACTCTTTATTAAAAATAAACAATTTATTAAAAATACTAAATTCCAATTATCGTCGTTATGTTTTGTATAGCTATCAATTAAATTAGTTTATCTTGACAACAATTTTTTTTTTTACACATTTAAATTAATATTTTAAAAACTGGACCGATCATTAAACGGTAAAAGTATTAAATTACTGAGTCATTGATCGAATTACATGACTAAACAGAATAAAATTGGATAATTCGATTGAATAAATGTGTCATTATAATAAAATTATATAAGTATTAAACTGGTTAAACGAATGACTTAGTGTCAAAAAAAATTACTAACATTTAAAAAATTTAAAAATATTATAATTTTACAAGTTTATAATTTATATTTAAATCTGAGTCAAGTAATTAATTAAAAAATTTAATCAAACTATCAACCTCAAATATAAACTAAAATTTATTATCTTTCAATAATGTATTACTATTTACTTTATCCAACATATGAACCCAATTAATAAAAATCAATGTTATCAATCACGTAAAAGAGAAAATAGAATATGTTTAAATTTTACAATCTATCAATACTATAATATTGCAATAGTCTTTATTTTCTATATTTAATATCGCTATCACCAATTTAATTTATATTTTCATTTATATTTATATATTTATTTCTTTTAAATAGTAAAAAATAACAATGTTTTAATTTTTTATAATAAATAAAACATTTAAACACCAACAATTAAATTAAACCGGTTACCATTCGATTTTTTAGTTTAACTGATTCCAACTGCCGATCCAATCAAGTTTTAAAGTTTTTAAAACTACGGTTAAAGTATCTTAATATTCCTTCTAGATTATTTGACCCAAAAATATAATCAATAGTAAAAAATATTTTTACAATTAATTATTTTTACAGCTATAATAATTAAATTTAATTAGTAAAAAAAAAATGGGCCTAGTTTACCTGGATTGGCTTAGAATGTAGTGACAAAATAATGAGTTTCCAACTTATTTTCGTCTACAAAAGATTGAAACAAGTAACACACCACACACTTTTTTTCTTCTATCTTCTCTCTTTTTTCTTCTTCTCTTCTTTTCCACCTACAATGGCGGTAACTGAACCGTTGGTAAAACCAACCTACATTTCGCTCCAAGAGCTTCAAAAACACAACAAACGTGGCGACGCATGGATCTCCATTGACGGCAAGATCTACGACGTTTCAAAATGGGCCAACTACCATCCCGGCGGCGAAGTTCCTCTCCTCAACCTCGCCGGACAAGACGTCACTGACGCATTCCTCGCTTTCCACCCTCCCTCCGCCTACAAACAACTGGATGCATTCTTCACCGGGAGTTACCTTCGTGATTATACTGTCTCCGAAGTGTCTCGTGATTACCGGAGTCTGTTCTCCGAGCTCACCAAATTAGGTTTATTCGAAGATAAAGGACACGGTGTTTTGATTCTGCTTTCGTTGATTGTTGTTATGTTCTGTGTGAGTGTTTATGGTGTTCTGTTTTCTGATAACATGGTTGTTCATGTGCTTTCCGGTGGTTTGATGGGGTTTCTGTGGATTCAAAGTGGTTGGCTTGGTCATGATTCTGGTCATTATCAGATCATGGTGAACCGGAAATGGAATCGGTTTATGCAGATCCTTTCTGGTAATGTTCTTGCTGGTATAAGCATTGGATGGTGGAGATGGAATCATAATGCTCATCATCTTGCCTGTAATAGTCTTGATTTTGATCCTGATCTTCAGCATTTACCGTTTTTCGTCGTGTCTTCGAAGTTTTTCGGTTCGCTTACTTCTTCTTTTTATGGTAGGAAGATGAACTTTGATTCTTTTGCTAGGTTCTTGGTTAGTTACCAGCATTGGAGTTATTACCCTGTTATGTGCTTTGCTAGGCTCAATTTGTTTGCTCAATCCTTTTTCCTGTTACTGTCTAAGAGAAAAGTTCCTAACAGAAAGATGGAGCTTTTAGGGTTGCTTGCTTTTTGGATTTGGTACCCTTTATTGGTTTCCTTTTTGCCTAATTGGCGTGAAAGGGTTCTGTTTGTGATGGCTAGTTTTACTGTCACTGGTATTCAACATGTTCAGTTCACTTTGAATCATTTCTCTGCGAGTGTTTATGTCGGTCCGCCGACGGCTCATGATTGGTTTGAGAAGCAGGCTAGTGGAACTCTTGATGTTACGTGTTCGTCTTGGATGGATTGGTTTCATGGTGGTTTGCAGTTTCAGGTCGAACACCATCTGTTTCCGCGGCTTCCACGACGTAATCTGAGGAAAATTGCGCCGTTGGTTAAGGATCTGTGCAAGAAACATAACCTTCCATACACTTGTGTGTCTTTCTGGAAGGCTAATGTACTTACCGTTCAGACGTTGAGGAATGCTGCTTTGCAGGCGCGGGATCTTACTAAACCAGTTCCAAGAAATTTGGTTTGGGAAGCTGTTAATACTCATGGATGAAACAGTGAACTCGAGAGTGAACCTTTGTAAGTTTTGCTGTCATCGACAATTTGGTTTATGCGTAATCCTTAGTATTTGAAGAAAGAATAATAACTGATTTGCAAATTGCTTGGCAGCTTAGATTTGATCGGTAATTGTCTTAGCTGTGTGATTTTCTATCAAGTGATAGGTTAGAAAGAAACTACTGATACTGGTTCATTTGAGGTTTTATAGATTTTTGTATTTTGTATTTTGCTTATCTTCATGATTGAAGAATAGACTGTAAGTGCAATTTAGTTTGTATGTTTGATTTCCTTATGCAGCAGTGTGTATTTCTTCTACATAACGATTTGTGTTATGCCTGGGAATTCATTGTCGTTTGGAACAAAATTGTACTTTATGTTAAATTTGAATTCTCTGAAATGAAATACTTTTTTGCCATTTCATGGCTCCTCAGTTTTAGATGAACTGGTACAAGCAAATGGTTGCTGATTATTGCCTCTATCGTGAGATAGTTAAGTTTTTTATGCCTTAAATTTCACATCTTTTCTACAATATAAATTGGTTTGTGAACTAAAAGTGAAAGGGGTTTGTTACACATAAAAGGGTGGAAAGATTCTCATTTTTGTAATGCTTCACCTTTTGATGATATGTAAATGGTTATGCTATCAAGAGTGCACTTCATAGGCTACATGTGTTGCTAATTTGAGTCTAGTTTATGGATTTGAATGTCCCTACTTTGTAAACATGCATATCCTCATCCACTGATAGGGTAAGGGATATTCACATCATGAGGATATATATGTTCACAAGCAATGACATATCCCTATTTTACTATCTATATTCAAGATGAATGAAGGGACATATCTATAGGTTACAACACAATCATGCTCTAACTAGAAGGGACATATTTTTTGGTTATATTGAACTTTGATTTTATTATTGGCGTATTAAAAAAGCTTTGATTTTTAGAGTATTGAAAAAACTGAAAATAGCACATTTTACAAACCAACTTGTGCAAGTAATTTCTGAGGATTTGTAATATTAGTCTATAAATACTTCACTTTTCAATTGCTTGTAATTGGTTATGCCCTTTGATATGCTTATTGGAGTTACTTAAAAGGGTTGCTTATAATTTGGTATGAATTATTACTCTTTGGTTGTGAAAATGCGATGAAGCTTCACTTCTTAACTTACATGTTGCATGTTGCTTGAGAAGAAGCTTCACTACTTAACTTACACTTTGCTTTATGGGAGGTTTTTGTTATTTTCTGTTCACTCTGCATTATTATGCTCCCAATCCAAATGTTGACACGGGCTCTAAAAAACCAGATACCATAAAATATGTATCCTTTTTCAGATTTAGCTATGGTTACTTCCAAAACTGCTTATGTACCAATTTGTCATCGTGTAAAATCATTTTCTTGGTCTATGTTTCTTCATATCATGTGCAGGATCAGGAAGCTGTGCTGATGTAGACATATGAAGTACAAGTGTTTCATTGGCATCCATGTTTTTATAAAGCAACTAGGGATTGTGAATTCTTGTTATGCTTTTTATATTGTGCCAATTAGATGATTGCACCGGTAGTTTTTCTACTGCTTTATGATAAGGATTTCAGATTTGTGCATATTATAGTGATTATTTTGTTTTTGAGGACAGAACATGAGTGTTGTGTCAAAGACAAACTTAGATCTCAACATCATCTTGGGTGTAAATTTGTGACAATAACACCCTTTTTCTGACGTGTCACAAAATATCTCGATATCTTCCTAGTGCATGTGACCAATGTGAGATGGGGTCCCCATTTTTCAGGAAAATGTTCATTTTGTTAATGACAAGTTGGAATATAAACTTAAATTTGAATTTTTTATTTTATTTTATTCTGACCAGTATTATTAAATATTAATATATGATGCTCTAAAACACTAATATAAGGTATAAATTCTGAGGGGTCATATGCAAATTACATACTACATCCGTCTTAAACTATAAGACTTTTTGATCATTTCACACAACTTAAAAAATTTAATTATTATTTTATAAGAAAGACAAATTATCTATGATTTTATAATAATGTCTCATAATTATGCAGGAAAAAGAAATTAAAAAAGTTGAAAGAATAAATAATAATAAATACACGAGGGTATATTGGAGAAAATATCATTAAATTACATTGAAAATGTAAGGTGAGTTATAATTTAGGACAAATTTTTTTGATAAAGTGACTTATAATTTAAGGCAGAAAGAATATTTATTTGGAAGGAAAATTTAAAATACTGATATCCTCTCATCCCTATCATGTTTCTATTCAAATGGTTAATTTCAAGATTTTTCAAGATTGTTAATCTAGGATCATATTTCTATTCAAATTTGTTAATTTTAAGATTTTTCTTAATAACTTCTCTTATAATTGTTTAGATCTTTCTTCTCTTATAGTTTTTTAGATCTTTCTCTACCTCTAGCTATTTGACTTCTCTCAATCTGATTTACTCTCATTACCACATAAACAATCGGTTTCCTCTATATATTCAACAAAACATCTGCATCCCTACTATAATTATTTTATTTGTATGTTGATTCTTAACTGTTCAATATTATATCTCATATAACATCGCAAATCTGACTGTAGTTAGATAAAATTTCTTTTTCAGTTTGAGTGGTACCTTTGTGTTACATAAAATTTCTGAAATCTTTTTCCATTTCAATCACTCAGTTTGAATTCGATGGTTTACATCTCTTTATATTTATTCATTGCTTTGTATTACGAACCCAAAATATGTAAATCGCATGACTTATGAGATGATATGGTTTCAAACTTTCACCTCTAAGTTAGAAACACTTTTTCTTTTGATGAAGTTACATTTTATATATTTTGTCTTATTTCTACTTATCTGAAAACTATAAAATTTTAAAATTCATGCTCAAGTCTTCAACCTCTCATTTAAATTCTCTTTTATAGAATTATATCATTTGCAAAAAATACGCCTCTCGATGCTACCTCTTGAATGTGTCCTATGAGTATATCAAAAATTAAATGTAATCTTAACACCTTTCTTCTCCAGGGTTTACCATAAAATCTCTCTAAGCACTTTATCACACGCCTTCCCCAAGTCAATAAAAATTAAGTATAAATTGTGTTGGTCCATTTGCTCAATCACGTGTCATAGTAGATAAATCACTTCTATGGTCATAAAATCAAATTGATTTTCAATGAATTGAATATCTTTTCTTAATTTCAATGAATTGATTTTCAATAAATTGAGTATCTTTTCTTATTAAATTGGAACTAAAGTGTTTCTTTTTCATTTGTCCGACTTTTACTTTAATCTCAAATTTTCGTTAAAGAATTTCATGAGTCACTCAGTGCATGTTTGGTTTAGCAGCAATAAAATGAAAACATAGCAAAAAATCACAGTAGCATAGAAGCTACACTTTGTAGCTATTGATTTTACACCGCGGAATGCTTTGGGACGTGAGTTTGAGGTTTCAAAAACTAAACCAAACAAACCACTAATGTCTCTATCCTTCAAACACACACAATTAAAAAAATTTCAATTAGCTAATAATTTTACAGTAAGTGTAAAGCACTCATAATTTCTGGACTTTATTCTTGATTTTGAGTAATGAACAATATCAGATTAAAGTCTTGGCCAATAAATTTTAATGATTTCAAGTGCAGTTATCTGATCACCCTTTGATTTGAAGTAACTATACTACTATATTACTCTTGGAGAAACTTGAAAACCACTCATGAAAAATAATATTTATTGGGCACAAACAATAGAAAACACAAAGGTGCATTAAGATAATAATCAAAGTATCAAAACCTGTGCCTAAAGTATATCAAATTTTGAACTAGATGTAAGCCATAAATTTCCCTGCTTGGTGCTAACTTAAATAAATTAAAACACATTCATATATGCATGTGAGGTATTTAAGAATGAATCCTATAGATTTGAAATTTGTAATGAGCTTGTGATTTGAATTTTATTTGTCTATATCTCATTTCATTGACCTAGGAAAACAACTCAATTAAGAATTTTAATCTGTTACGTAATATCCTCAACATGTTTTTGGTGTGACCCTAATTAAACTAGCAACCAATACAAAAATGAAAGGAACTTTGAGTCTAATATACAGCTAAATTTGTCAGCTCAAGAAGTTATGTAACATGATTTCATCACCTTTGAAAATTTCAACTCTTTTCTCCAACTCTTCAAAGCTGATCTTTAACATCTCCTAATCTGTCACCAAGCCAACAACTAATGATGTTTGTATTCGGAAAACCGTCTTGAGAGTTTGTTCCGAAAAAAATGTAGAAACAGAATAGCCATAAAAGTTTATCAAAACCAAATTTCACAAGACACGGAAAAGTCCATCAAATATTATCATCATCAAAATACCTTTTGAATTATCTCGTTAAGTCAACTCAGTTGGTAGCTGTCTGTAGGGACATCAGATGCAGGGGTGCGAGTTCGAACCCGCGACATCCCACTTGTTCATCTTTAAAAAAATTATAACCATTAGGCTACTTGACAAAAAAAAATACCTTTTGAATTTGCGTTCTCTGTAGATGAGCATCACACTAAGTAAAAACGGGATAAGCGCTAAGCACAAGTGTTCCAAAGAGTGCCCACTGATAACATAGTTATTTGCGCGGTAGAGTTTCCGGTCAGAAACAGCTTCAAATTTTGCTAGTAGATAAATTCCTGCGCTAAAAAGATTAGGACTCGAAGCATAAGTATAGTGATAAATATTCAAAATTTATAAGTAAATAAGTGCTACAAAAGTGTGAGGCATACCTATTGATGAAAACCAATATCCTGAGTGAGTATAGTTGGAGGGATACAGAAATGCTGCTACTGCAATAGCTAAAGGAAGAATTAACTGGAACATCAAGCAGAGCCGAATATCCCCGTAAACTCTGCAACCAACTAACTAGCATATCATAATTCGGCATAAAAGTTAGCGGCAACTTCAACACTTCAAAGTATATAACATTTAGAAGAGAGAATAAG